ATTTTGTATAAACAAATAACATATACATACATACATACATACATACTATATTTGGTAATTATCTAGTTGGGCTTTCAACCCCCAAAATTTTTTGTTAATAACTTCTGATCGGGTAAAAAAAGTTAATTTCCGCTTTCGGATTCTTGTTATTGGGGTCCAGACGCGTCTAATGGTACCCCGTTTCCAAAATTTTGACCAATTTTGGGGGTTGAAAGTACACCTGGATAATTACCCTACATTTGTATCAGACGTCTGCATGAATGCATTGAACCAATTTACACGAAGACTTCACCATCATACAGTTTCATGAGAAAAACATTAGGAGTGTACTCGTATTGAGTGGACAAAATTATCTAGCAGCAAAAGTTCTGAGGATTTAGCAGCATTCGCTCTCAAAGAGACAAAATAGGAGTGTTCGCTATGCACAAAATTTGTACAAGTTGGTACCAATTGTTACCAAATCGTGTTCGTTTAGCCAAAAACCCAGTAAAACTTGCAAGGAGAGAGCACAATTTTGACATTTCATTTGGAGGGGAAGTTGCAAACTCGTGCTGGGAAAATTTTTGCCAGTAAGAATTTGCAAGCAGGATTGTGGCACACGGTTGCATTTTTATCAGCATTAATTTGAATCTAAGCCCTTTCTCTCTTTGGGAGAGTAAGGTACCTTATTCTCTGAATTTTGTTACTGGCTAAGGCACTCCGCACATTAAGCTGCTAATCACAGTAGTGTAATCGTTTCGGCATACTAAAGTATAAAGGTTTTATGCCGAACCCATGTATTTCAATGAAGCTCTGTAGATTACTATNCCAGTAAGAATTTGCAAGCAGGATTGTGGCACACGGTTGCATTTTTATCAGCATTAATTTGAATCTAAGCCCTTTCTCTCTTTGGGAGAGTAAGGTACCTTATTCTCTGAATTTTGTTACTGGCTAAGGCACTCCGCACATTAAGCTGCTAATCACAGTAGTGTAATCGTTTCGGCATACTAAAGTATAAAGGTTTTATGCCGAACCCATGTATTTCAATGAAGCTCTGTAGATTACTATTAATCATAAAAGCTACATGAATCGAAGCGCCCAACATTGTAAGGCGCTTGCAGTTTTGAAATCGTCATTTGTTTACTTTTTTGTGTTGGAAATAAAATTTGTTTGTCAATTCAATAGAAAGTAATTGGAAATGAATGATTTCGTGCTAAAATTCGTGCAAATTGCATTAAACCACAAGCGTTTATGCAATATTTCGGAGAAGAAATATTTGCGGAAGTGCTTGTTGCGAAATTTGTTATGTGTAGAATGTGTTTATTAGCTGGTGACTTATGCAGGGCGTGCAAGTGTGCAGAAGTCGAGTCGTCGTGCATTCGTTTCGGTATGATGAAACGATTACTCTACTTTGATTAGGCGTGTAATGTGCCGAGTACCTAATTCTTACTGGCAGTTGCATAGCGAACACTCCTAATATCCACACAAATAGGAGAACGCAAAATTTGCAAAAACTTGAAACCTTCGAAACAGCTGATTTTATTTTCTGCTTGCTAGACGTCCATCATTGATCCCAAAAAAATTAATAGATATAGCTACAAATGTAGCTTTAAAATTATAAAATTTTCAATATTTTTATTGAGCTTTGTACCACGATTTTTTATTAGGAAAAATTGAAAAAGCAACAATGTTTTCAAGTCTGCTCGCATGTGGAAGAAAGAGGGTGTGAAGAAAAAGGACGAGTACACATGCGTCTGAGCCAAGGCGCATCCATACAAGGTGGTGTTGATTGCATATAAGTAAAAGTCCCGTGTATTTTGTTATTGCTTTTTGGTACAGGAGGATGTCAAAACGAAAGGGAATAGGAGATAATTTTTATCATTTTCTTTTGTTAACATCCTAAAGTTGCGCCGCTTCGTCTTGGATGACATTCTCCTGTACTAGTGTAGAGACAAAAATATCCAATCAGCTGATCAATCAACACCACCTTGTATTGATGCGCCTTGGTCTGAGCCGTCAAGTCGTTTCAACTTTCTTGCTTTGCTTTTGCTTCCCATTTAGGGTGGGCCAGTTTTTGAGTGCACGGCCGTGGTTAAAACCATGATAAGTGCAACCCTGCGCTTTGCGTTCAACATTTGCGTTCAACTCAGCGCAGGGTTGTACGAAAAAAAGTTGAATGGCTAAAAATATCAAAATATGAAAAAACATCAAAATATTCGCCATAAAAAGGTGTTTGCATTGTTCATCCTTGCATCCAACTTTTGGTTGAATGGCCTTTCAACTAATTGCTTTCAACAAAGTTGGTCGCCAGCCAACATTTAACCATTCAACTTTTTTCGTGCAACCCTGCTTTAATTTACTGAGAGACTTTACAAGGCAAAATTACTTAGTTTGTACTTAATTTATGCGTCAATTAAGATTGACCTCTAAATTACGCCAATGGGAACATAGTTTAACAACCGGCTGGACAGCCAGTAGGGTCAGCAATTTTTTGCAGGGTGTGTTTTAAAAGTATCGATATCAATTCTACTCGGAATTGACAGAAAAGTGTCGGAGAGGAAATTATCGAGTACTTGTACGTTTACCATCCCTAATTTTTGGTGGACGCCAAATACATACCATTATTTTGTGAAATTTTGGGAAACAGTTTTTAAATATAAAATAAAGGAAACTAGTCCAAAAGTGATGTCGCTGCCGAGCAATTACAAACAAATTGCTGTCGGCGCATCAACCGGACCCTCTACTCCCGCGCCAAGTAGTGGCTCTGGCAGCAGCCGCTCCCGTTCTTCTGGCGCCGGCGGTGGTTCAGACCGCAACAAAGACACTACTCCTATTTTCACTCATAGTAATTATGGTAATCCAGCATTCACTCCGCAGAAGGCTGGCAAATCGGCCAGTTCTAAGACCCAAGCCGAATCTCGTACACCGAAACCACCCAAGCCTCCAGAGAAACCGGTTCTACCCTACATGCGCTATTCGAAACGCATCTGGGATAGCGTAAAGGCTCAATACCCCGATTTAAAGCTATGGGAATTAGGAAAAAAGATTGGAGCCATGTGGAAACAACTTACCGAGTCTGAGAAACAGGAATTCATTGACGAGTACGAAACTGATAAAGCAGAGTATGAAAAAGCTTTAAAGACGTATCATAATTCACCAGCATACTTGTCCTTCCTGGCTGCTAAGAGTAAAGTAAAGACTGATTCTGACGTACATGATACACCGTCACGTTCCAGTGGCAAAAGCCAGCAAGAAAGACGAATTGACATTCAACCAGCAGAAGATGAAGATGATCAAGATGAAGGATATTCGTTCAAACATGTGGCGTACGCTCGCTATTTGCGTAATCATCGACTTATCAACGAGATATTTTCAGACGCAGTAGTACCGGATGTCCGATCTGTTGTAACAACCCAACGCATGCAGGTACTCAAGCGGCAAGTAAGCTCTTTGACAATGCATCAGACTAAGCTTGAGGCTGAGCTTCAACAGATGGAGGAAAAATTTGAGGCAAAAAAACAGCGAATGGTAGAGTCCAGTGAAGCTTTCCAAGAAGAATTAAAGCGTCACTGCAAACCAGCAGTAGATGAAGATACTTTTCAAAAAATGGTAGTTCGAATGTATGAGGAAATGAAGAAAGAGCGTCAACGTGCAGATGACCACCCATTAGGCTCTGCCACGTCCATTACAGGAGCGGCTTCACCGCAAACACTAAGCACGCGCAGCGATGAAAAGCCGACTGCTCAAGCTGGGCAATCATCTAATCCGATGTCTGGTGTCGCGAGCTCAACAGGTAGAGTAAAATGTTTGAACATATTTTGTTATTTTATAATGCAATCTTTTTAGGTAAAAAAGATGCACCAATACCATCTTCCCAAATTATATCCACTCAAAAGGAGACGGTTGAGTCAGGAAGCAAAACCGACCCTGAACCTATGGATATTGAGCCTCCACCTAAGCCTTCTGTTCCGCTACCCCCTAGACCAGAGGCCCCGAAAATTGCCCCTAAAACCGGAAATGAACCAATGAAAGAAGTCACTAACAAACCACAAATACCGTCTATTATAAAACCAGGGCAACATGGCAAAGTGCCAACTCCAACACCGACTCCTCCACCACCGACAATTTCTCTAGAACATTCAGTTCCCAATCAACAACAATCGGCTCCAACAGGGGTCCCAAATCTACCCTCTCAAGTGAGCATTCCACCGGCCCAAACACCACCGCCCCAATCTGCAGCCCAACAGAATCAACAGCCTCCTCAACCACAGACGGGCCAACAACCGCCGCCACAACAACAACAAGTCCCTCCCACTATGTCAATGCACCCACATCACCCACCACCTCCATCGCACACTCATTTACCGCCGCATTTGCCGCCGCATCAACCTATGTCGGCTATACCGCCGCATAGCAATTATGGGAGTTATGGCGCACCAACAGGCCCGACGCGGTCACCATACTATCAACCACAATATGGAGCTCATCCCTCACAACCTTATAGTCAGTATGCTCCCTACCCCCACTATCAACAACCATATGGGCCCCCGCCCGGTTCCCATTACATGAATGCGCGTCCGCCACCACAACATAATGGATCGCCGATCCACTATCCAGAACATGGTGCGCCAGGCCAACCACAACAGCCTCATGATGTTTACGGTCAGCCATCACATCCAGCTTTGGCACAACAGCAGCCTGCAGCTGTTCCTCCTACACCAGCTGGAGTATCGGGCAATCAGGGACTGGCATCGACCGCAGTTGCTGTTAACGCTTCAGATGGAACCAAAGGCGACAGCGAAAAGAAAGACGGAGTAGCTGAGTAAACAGCGGAGCGCATTTTATGAATATTACAATTTCTATATTCTCTAAATAAGTAAACGCTTTTTACTTGGAAAATCTTAAAGTATTAGGCAATAAACTTGCTTAACAAACTTTCTATTTGTACTTAGTTTCATAAGCTCACGACGTAGACGTTC